TTTTGATAAAATTTTCAAACTTTTGAAATATGTGGCCCCAGTGTCAGTGGTTCCTGTGGGGTGGGGTGCACCACTGGTTTAGAATGGAAGTGCATTTTCTCTTAGTTACTCTGATCTACTTATGGGTATCAAGTAACTATCTAGTAAGCATTGCTAAGTGTATAATTATGATAAGCAATGGTGCTTTTTTCAAAATTGTGAATTTCATGGCCTCAGCTGGCTTAAAACACAAACCAAATTCAATTGTTGGAAAGTTGTTACATGATACTCAGGTGACCTATAAGGCCCGTGGGCCTCTTGTTACATTTAAAACTCTCTTCACGGATTGTTCTCATCAAATACAGAGTCTTTAAGCTGTACGTCACTCAGATACTGCTTGTATTATTTGTACACACATGCACACTCGCTTGTGAATTTTTATTACTCCTCCAACATTTTTCCTAAGTAAAACTCAAAACTGCATCATTGTTTGCTGCTCAATGATGTTCTAAAACCTCTTCGTTTTTGTTGTTTTCAATGAGGACTACATATCTTCTCAAGTTGATTTCTTTTCAACGAAGCAAAATATTACGCTATAATTTGGAATACAAATTGATAAAGCAATTCTTAATACTAGGTTCCAGGCTGTTTATTCATTTTGGCTCCATTTTATGTAGAATATGATTACAGACATTATTTAGTGTATTATTTGTAACTTACTAAATTTTGACCTGCTCCGCGATCCAATTTTTGCATTTTTAAAATCTAGATAAGTTTTGATTAAATTGTAATATTTTTTTTTTGAAAATTACACATACCGGTAAATCATTTGAATTTATTGTTAAAATATTTCTATCAAACTTGGATAATATCTGACATCAAATAAAAAAGATATGACAGAGGACCATGTACAAACTTTTCGAACAACCCTCATACATTTAAAATTTTAGCATCGTTCTACATACATGGAGGTACTTAATTTGCTAATGACAACATTTATTTTCAAGAGAAATTTAATGAATAACATAACAGCTAAATTATCCAGGGCTCGACATTACTTGTCAGCTTGTCCGGTACCAGCGTAAAAAAAAATTTACAGACAAGTGAATATTGCTGGGCACTTGTCCGATTTGACACGTCATGTATTTAATGTAAAGTAGTCCATATATAATAAAAAAACGACTGTTGAAAAGTAATTGATAGTTTCAAGATGGAAGCTGTATATAAAACAGGACTTTGATCCTGATAGTGATTGCTATTAATTGAATTCACATATAATCGGGATCAAAGTTCACTTATTGCATACTACTGGAAAGGCATGGAACTTATGCAGATTGGATTCTGTTTTATGTTGACAGGTTCACTTGTGAACATTTATGTTGTTGTCAGGACAGAAAGCCTACATAAAATTTCGTTTTATGTGTTTGTTGTTTTTATGAATAAAATCAGGAATCAGTCAAAATTTATTGAAAAATTTTCGGACAAGTGAAGTAGAAGTTCTGACAAGTAAATGTCTTGGTCACTTGTCCAAATGGAACACTTGTACACAAAATGAAAGAAGAAAGTTGATCATAAATAAGTCTCTTGGTAAATAACAATTAAAAACTTAGTTATAAACGATGTTTTGAGAATAAATCGGTGAACAGCTGTCGAAAAAGTCTAAATAAATATTTTTTAAGATAATTAAAGCCTACATGATTTTTCCATAACGCATGGTCTGTAAAAATGGCCAGGGTTCGGACCGGGAATGATTCCCCGACAGCATTACCCGACGGCTATGGGTGAAATGGGAATGGAATCGTCTACATCTAATTTTTCCTTTCGTGATGCATAATTTCAAATATTAAATGCAAAGCAAGATGTTCTAATCTGAGTAATTTCTCTTCTAAAACTGGTTATTATACCAAAACTTCGTCACCATAACGCATGTCTCAAAGAAAAGCAACACGTATAGGTATGTCTTTCACTTAACTCCTAAACAATGTTACAATGTTGTCATATTTGTTTTAAAAAATAATTTTATTTAATTCCATGATACTATAGCTTCAAAGGCAGGTCAGTTTATTTTGTTTATTATGTAGGAATAAATGTACGTTAACTCATGTTTTGACACTGAAATTAAAATTATCAATTGTAATCATGCAATGAACCCCCCCCCCTTTTATTAAAACTACACTATATATATATATATATATAGGCATGATTTTACTTATTTATTTATTCATCTATTTAATTATTTGATAGATTGATTATATTTATGGCATTTTCTTATTGGCATATGCGGTAGGCATCAAAAGCCATAATGTTAATTCGATGGTCAATACGACCTTCAGACAAGGTACACAAGTTATACACAACGACAGAAAATTAAATGTCAATCAAATCAAAGTATCCAATCCCAGGCTTAATTTCAGATGATTGACAAGGGTTCTAAGACCAAGTAAATTTGAAGGAGCTGCTTATTTCCTCCCCCTTTCAATATAGCCATAAAGTAGGTCACATGGCTTTTCTGTTCTTGGGAAAAAAAATTTCCTTGATGTTTCTAGGCAAAATTTTGATCCCCAATTGTGGCTCACCCCACCAAACCCCTACTTCTTGTTCATGACTTGAACAAACCTGAATCAATACTACGTGATGATGCTTACATAAAGATATGACCAACCATGGCTTTGTGATTGTGATTAAATCTGTGATTGGCCATTATGGCCCCGGCCTACCCCGGGGGTCATGATTTGAGCAAATTGAATCTACACTACCTGAGGATGCTTCCACATGAGTTTCATTTTTCCTGGCCCAATGGTTCTTCAGAAGAAGATTTTTAAAAGATGGCATTAATTTTTTCATCAATTCATAATTATCTCCCCTTGATAGAGGGTTTAGCCCTTCATTTGAACAAATTTGAATCCCTTTCACCCAAGGATACTTTGTTTAGTTGAAATTGGCCCAGTGGTTCTTGAGAAGAAGATGAAAATGTGAAAAGTTTCCTTTGACAAAAACGACTTCAACAATGATAACGAAAGACAACTGACAAATTTTGATCAGAAAAGCTCACTTGAGCTCAGGTGAGCTAAAAAGCAAAAACAAGAACTTAAATATTAAAAAAGTTTACATATTAGGGGGGGGGGATTTTAAACTACCTGATGATCCTTATATCAATACATAAGAAATGGCTTTGCTGCGTTAAAGCAGCAGATTTTTTTTCTATTCATTCATTCGCAAAACTTTGATACCCCCCTTGTGGACAAGCCCTACCCCTGAGGGCCTTATTTGAACCAATTTGATTTTACACTACCTAAGGATGCCTCCATATTAATATGACTAATCATGACTTTCCTGTTCTTGAGAAAAAGATTTCTTTCATTAGAATTAATTCCCCTTTTTGCCCCCACCAGGGGGATCATGACTTGAACAAACTTGAATCAACATTATGTGAGGATGCTTCCATTAAGATATGACCAATCATGGCTTTTCCCATGTAAACCTTTAATCATCCATTGTGGTCCCACCCTACCCCTGGGGGCCATGATTTCAACAAACTCGAATCAACTGATGATGCTTCCATATAAATATGACCAATCATGACTTTGCTGTTCTTCATCAGAAGATTTTCAATGATATATTCCTATAGATCATCCACTGTGGCCCGGCCCATACTAACCCTGGGGGTCATGATTTGAAGAAACTGAAATCTACACTGAGGATGTTTCTACATAAGTTTTAGCTTTCCTGGTCCAATGGTTCTTGAGGAGAAGATTTTTTAAAAATGGCATTTTTTTCACTTATTCCTAATAATCTCCCATTGAAGAAGGGTGTAGCCTTTCATCTGAATAAACTTGAATCCCTTTCACCCAGAAATACTTTGTGGCAATTAAGTTTAATTGAAATTGGCCCAGTGGTTCTTAAAAAAAAGTCGAGAATTAAAAGCTTACAGAAAAGCTCAGGTGAGCTAAAAAATTAAATACAGGTGACTCTCGATGGCTTAAACTCCTATCTCTCGAACTGAACCCCTGGTCCCGTTTTTTTCCTCTACATAACTAAGCAAATTTACTCCTAATCTCTCAAACTTCTATCTCTCGAAGTTCTGCATCTCTCGAATCAAGACCCGGGTCCCATTACACACATTTCATTGTTTTTTACCCGCGTCAATCAAGCGTGAATTTATTGCAGCTTGGACTTACCTGGATAACAGTGAATGCCTGGGGCTGGCATGGAGGTGTTTATTGGGTGTTTACATAGATGACACTACACCTGTGGGTCGTCCGTATGTAGATATAATTAATTGGTTATAATTGGTAAATTATAAACAAATCGCTTCACAACTTATTTTGACTTGAAACCAGGATGATAATTATTACAAAATAATTTTAAAACGTATGTGTCAATAAGTTCCCATAGACTATGAACTTTTATTACAGTCTACATAATCCCAATATGTCAAACATAGCACAGAAAATCCTTCCTCAAGGATTGAATACTGATTGCGAGAAGACTGGTGAACACTTGTGAAGGACCTGATCAAGCCGGGGAATAACCAAACTGACAATTGCTATGTAGGTTTCATGTAATCATGAAATAAGTACAAATTGAACCTTTAGGAAATCATTTTATTTATTCAAAATATGATCATTGTTGTTGATTTCAAGTACATTACCTGTAAGATGCGATTGAAAATGTGCATGACTTTATTTACATAAACTTCCGGTATGTATAATAGTTGAACATTGATGATAGGAACTGAAAATTCCGGATTTTATTCATTTCTTATCTCTAGAACCCCTCAAACTCTCGAACTTTTCTTGAGATCCCTTGAACTTCGAGAGATCGAGAGTCACCTGTACTTGTAGATTACTTTTTGTTCCATTCAGTATATTTAACTTTTTGTGTTGCAAGGGAAAAGTTTGTGCATGCTGTCATTTTTAACTTCTTGGGGGCATCTTCCTTCATGGTTAAATTTTAGATGTGGAGAACCTTGTTAGCATTTCACCTTAATCTACAATTAATATCTAATGGTAATGCATCTATGAGATAAAAATGAGCTTGGCATTTCACCTGTGTGCTTTTTCCAAGTATTGAAAACATCTCAATTCTGTATCCTCTGGTAATGGCAGATCATCATCTACAAAAGTATGATTATACAAATTTAAATCTATACTCATTGGGAAAGCATTTATATGTTGTCCTTTATGATTCACTTTGTTTTTAAATGACTAAAACAATTTTATTTCTTAATTATCTCCCTTTGAGAGAAGACATAGTTTTACATTTTAACAAATTTAAATAACTTTTACCCACTGATCCTGTGTGGCAAGTTTGGTTGAGTAAGTTGATCTTGAGAACAAGAAATGTTTGTAAAATGCCCCCTCCCGCATATAATTGAAATTTTTCTAAGCCTGAAATGTACCCAAAACAGAAGTTGACCTACTGTAGATATCCTTATAAATCTGCATACCAAAGAACTTTCACTTTAATATGTGCAATGTCTGCACAGAAAATGAATGGAAACTACAGATAATTGAAAGTTTTCTAAGGTCAAGGTGCATATCTCTCCATTGTTTCCATAACAGAACTTGACTTAGTTATTCTTCTAAAAAATCTTTTTACCAAATTTCATTTCAGTATCGCAACCACTGCAAGAAAATGAACAGAAACTTTGTGGACCAACAGACAGACTGACTGACTGACTGACAGACAGCAGCAAAGCAATATGCCCTGATTCTTCGTAGGGGGAGTTGAAATGTGAAAAGTTCACAAAAGAAAAATGACACAGTATGAAAGCAAAGATTAATTTTTTTCAACAGAATATTTATTAAGAGTTTGCCTCTGGTAAATTAAAAATAAACTTCGGTAATAATAATTTCTACATAACACTCTTATATCCTGGCTGTGAGAAGGATTGCTATTTTATCATTCTCATGACAGGAACTGTCATGAGAATGTAGGAACGTAGGAACCTCCATTTCATTATATACAGCAAAAACTTGTTTAGTACGAATACAGATATTGCGAATTCATGGATATAGTGAAGTTATCTTGGATCCCCAGTATATTTATTTAAGTAACGAATTCCTTATACAGTAATAATAAATTACAGATAAAGCGAAGTAATTATCCGAAAATTCTGTAGACATGCAAGTGCAGTTTTGTAAGAACTCAATGTCTTAAATTAATGAAAATTTGTTACATAGTTTTATAAACAAAATTAACTTTAGAATTTTCTGGACAAACATTGGCTCATAGTTACTTGGAAATGGGACCTGAACCAAAATATTAACCTGTTCACTCATCAAAAAATGTAGGTCAGATCCAGTATCCGAAGCAAGTCTATCAGTGTGCATCCTTAGATGTTCATCCATGCAAGTTTGGTCATCATAGGGCTCATAGTTACTTGGAAATGAGAACTGGAGCAGAAACATTAACCTGTTCACTCATCCAGAAAATGTAGATAAGATCCAGCATCCACTGCAAGTCTGGTTGTTTGCATCCTTAGATGTATCATCCATGCAAGTTTTAAACCAGAGGCCATGAAATTCACAATTTTGAAAGAAGCCACATTGCTTATCATAACTTTAAGGTCAGACGATACGTTCCCCAAATATCTGTTATGTATATCTTCATAATATATGAAAAATGTACAAAATTTTCATTACTTTTTGATTTCTAAATTTTAACAAACTAAGTTTTTTCTTTAAAAGATTTTATAAGAAATGTCACCCTCTGGTATCTCCCACAAATGCCTGGTAAGGTACCTCAATTTTTTGTGAGTAAACATGTTGAAGTATTAATTCTTCAATGGCAAAATCTTGGGAAAAAAATATTTGTTATTGAGGAACGTCTCGTCTGTCCTTAATACACATAGCATGCATACCTTGGTTACTTAATACCCAGAGGTAGATAAAGAGTAACAAAGAGAAAATGCATTTCCACTTTATAACCAGCTGTGCGCTGTGGCAACACACTTTGAAAAAAAATTTCAAAGTGTGTTAAAATTGGGACAAAATCAATGCACTTTGAAAAAATTTTTCAAAGTGTGTTAAATTTGGGCACACTTAACGCACTTTGAAAAAATTTTAAAAGTGCATTAAGAGTATACATAAACATTTTTACCAGGTTGATATTTAACACACTTTGAAAAAAAATACAGCATTTGTGCATTTGTGTGCTTAACCCCCCCCCCCCCACTACCGATGCCTATGCTACACCCAAATATATGTATTTGTGTAACTGGTATGACTTTGAAAACTTTCAATAAATTTTAGTTGACATAAAATGCATGCAAACTGGGAAAAATTAATTACAGTAAAACATTTAAGAGAGAAAGAATTTTCAAAGTATGCAAAAATCAAAATTGCTCACTTTCACATCCTGAAGTGACCTTATCACCGAAAATTTATCAAACAGGTTCAATTACTTATTAAACATAAGATTTGCATACACATTTTTTCAAAGTGCATTAATGCACTTTGAAAAAAAATATTATTTTTTCAAAGTGCATTGATTTGATCCCAAATTTAACGCACTTTAAAAAAAATTTTCAAACTGTGAAATTTTTCAAAGTACAAAGTAACAGTGCACCCCATCCAAGAGAAATCACAGAGCCTGGGGCCACATTTTTTAAAATTTTGGAAATTTTATCAAAAATTTTATTTCATCATAAATTGTTATCATAAATTTTATTTCATAAGAAATTGTTGATTAATATTAAAGTGCATATTTCATAGCATTAATTTATTTTAAGATTATGCACAACCTCCCCCCCCCCCCCCCCCCCCCCCTCCCCCCCCCCCCCCCCCCACCCCCCCCCCCCCCCCCCCCCTCCAAGTACCCCTGACCCAGAGGCCAGGGAATTAACCATTTTGAATTATAAAAGATAGTTATTTTATCCTCTGAACTTTATATAGGAAACATTTTAACAGAAGTATAATAACAAGAGGCCCAAGGGCCTGGCTGCAATAATGTAGCCCTCTCCGATGTTTTTTATCTGATGTTTTCTGGACAGGGCTACAATTCCACAGCATCTCCATAATGGTGCAAAAATAATTTTTTAATACGGGCCACTGCAGGCAGAATAAATTGTTTTTACATTCAACTTACTTCTAATAAGATGAGATTTTTATTCACTGTCGACAACATAGCCCTTTTAATGCGAAAACCATTTAAAATAAATCTGAGTGTTACCTGTGGCTTCTACTCAGCTGCCATGACAGTTCATGCATGATGTACAGAGACTTGTGCTTGAAATTTAGAATAAATGAATAAAGCAAGTGTTAGGCCAAAATAAAAAGTACCATTGTTTCCTCTAACGCGACTGACCCAATTCAATCGCACTGACTGAAAAGATTTTTTAAATAAGATTATTCAAATATTTTTTTTTTGTTCACCAAGTTTTAAAAAAGTATAATTTCATCAAAATCAGTTTTCATCAGAACGGCCGACATTGTTCTACTGTGATTTTCAAACATTTGTTGGAAACAAAATGGCGCTCAGATGTGATTACAGAGAATTAGTTCTTCATAAAGCAACGGTGACAACTCCATCTTATGCCTTTATCAAATTAGAATTCTTCACTCTTGAAAACATAGGTAATCAGAGATTACAGAGCTCACCTCAACGAATGTTGTCTTTAAGTAAGGCAAAGTCACACAATTAACCAACAAAAAGTGTACATCCAAAAATGCAAAATTTATGCAATTTTGATTTTATACTTTGGAATAGACCTATATATAAACTTCAAACTAGTTCTCCATCATGAAAACATACTTAAAATCCAGCATCTGAAGCAAGTTTGAGAGTTTTCATCCCTTGATGCATCATTTGTGCAAGTTTGGCTTATATAAGCTTTATAGTTTCTTGGTAATAGACCTGCATCCATAACTTTTACGAGGTGTCCATTATCTGGAAAATGTATGTAGAATTCAGCATCTGAAGCAAGTCCATTAGTGTGCATCCTAAGATGTACCATCCATGCAAGTTTGGTCATTATAGAGCTCATAGTAACTTGGAAATGAAACCTGCACCAAAAACTTTAACCTGTTCACTCAACCAGAAAATGTAGGTCAGATTCAGCATCCGAAGCAAGTCTAGTAGTATGCATCCTAAGATGTACCATCCATGCAAGTTTGGTCATTATAGGGCTCAAAGTAACTTGGAAATGAAACCTGCACCCAAAACTTTAACCTGTTCACTCAACCAGAAAATGTACATCAGATTCAGCATCTGAAGCAAGTCTGGTAGTATGCATCCTTAGATTTATCATCCATGCAAGTTTGGTCACTATAGTGCTCATAGTTACTTGGAAATGAGACCTGCACCAAAAACATAAACCTGTTCACTCATGCGGAAAATGTAGGTCAGATTCAGCATCCGAAGCAAGCCTGGTAGTGTGCATCCTAAGATGTACCATCCATGCAAGTTTGGTCATTATAGGGCTCATAGTAACTTGGAAATGAAACCTGCACCCAAAACTTTAACCTGTTCACTCAACCAGAAAATGTAGGTCAGATTCAGCATCCAGAGCAAGTCTGGTAGTATACATCCTTAGATTTATCATCCATGCAAGTTTGGTCACTATAGTGCTCATAGTTACTTGGAAATGAGACCTGCACCAAAAACATAAACCTGTTCACTCATGCGGAAAATGTAGGTCAGATTCAGCATCCGAAGCAAGCCTGGTAGTGTGCATCCTAAGATGTACCATCCATGCAAGTTTGGTCATTATAGGGCTCATAGTAACTTGGAAATGAAACCTGCACCCAAAACTTTAACCTGTTCACTCAACCAGAAAATGTAGGTCAGATTCAGCATCCAGAGCAAGTCTGGTAGTATACATCCTAAGATGTATCACCCATGCAAGTTTGGTCACTATAGTGCTCAAAGTTACTTGGAAATGAGACCTGCACCTAAAACATAAACCTGTTCACTCATGCGGAAAATGTAGGTCAGATTCAGCATCCGAAGCAAGCCTGGTAGTGTGCATCCTAAGATGTACCATCCATGCAAGTTTGGTCAACATAGGGCTTATAGTTACTTGGAAATGAGACCTGCACCAAAAACATAAACCTGTTCACTCATGCGGAAAATGTAGGTCAGATTCAGCATCCGAAGCAAATCTGGTACTATGCATCCTAAGATGTACCATCCATGCAAGTTTGGTCATTATAGGGCTCATAGTAACTTGGAAATGAGACCTGCACCCAAAACTTTAACCTGTTCACTCAACCAGAAAATGTAGGTCAGATTCAGCATCTTAGGCAAGTCTGGTAGTATGCATCCTTAGATTTATCATCCATGCAAGTTTGGTCACTATAGTGCTTGCTCACAGTTACTTGGAAATGAAACCTGCACCAAAAACTTTAACCTGTTCACTCAACTAGAAAATGTAGGTCAGATTCAGCATCCGAAGCAAGCCTGGTAGTGTGCATCCTAAGATGTACCATCCATGCAAGCAGGCTTGGGGTCAATTACTTTGAAATGTAATTAATTACTTTCAAATACACTGATAATTTTGTCAATTACTTGCAATTACAATTGCATTGATTTTTTCAAATGTAATTAATTACTTTCAATTACTTTGACAAATGTAATTAAATACATTTCAATTACTTGAAGTTTTATTTTTTTTTAAAAAAAAATAAAGATTTTTTTAAATAAGATCTTTTCTATAGCGATCGAATTTGAACTTTCATTCAGTGTTTTTGTTCTTGGGTATGATAGGGGTTCACACCTGGTCAAAATTAGATCTTTACCTTATAATGAGTGTGACACACTGTATAAACAAATTAAACATTATGAGGCAATTAATTATTGTACAAACACAAGCCCATGCTACACCAGTGTGGTGTATGGCAAGATTTTTTTGTTACTTTCTCAAAAGACACCTTTTTAAATATAAACTTTCATTTTGAAAAAAAGTAATTAAAATGTAATTGAAAAGTAATTGAAAATACATGGCCTTTTTTGAAATGTATTTAAATACATTCAATTACTTGTAATTGAAGGCTCGCTCAAATACAAATTACTTCCAATTACTCTGAAAAATGTAATTAATTACACTCAATTACAATTACTTTATTCAATTACCCCCATCCCTGCATGCAAGTTTGATCATTATAGGGCTCATAGTAACTTGGAAATGAAACCTGCACCCAAAACTTTAACCTGTTCACTCAACCAGAAAATGTAGGTCAGATTCAGCATCCGAAGCGAATCTGGTAGTATGCATCCTTAGATGTATCATCCATGCATGTTTGGTCACTATATTGCTCATAGTTACTTGGAAATGAGACCTGCACCAAAAACATAAACCTGTTCACTCATGGGGAAAATGTAGGTCAGATTCAGCATCCGAAGCAAGTCTGGTACTATGCATCCTAAGATGTACCATCCATGCAAGTTTGGTCATTATAGGGCTCAAAGTAAGTTGGAAATGAAACCTGCACCCAAAACTTTAACCTGTTCACTCAACCAGAAAATGTACATCAGATTCAGCATCCAAAGCAAGTCTGGTAGTATGCATCCTTAGATTTATCATCCATGCAAGTTTGGTCACTATAGTGCTCATAGTTACTTGGAAATGAGACCTGCACCAAAAACATAAACCTGTTCACTCATGCGGAAAATGTAGGTCAGATTCAGCATCCGTCAGCATATGTCTGCATATTCATCCTGATACCGGTAAATATAATTCAGATGTCCTATCTTCATGCCTTTATTTATGGGTTAAACTTCATGACTAGGACATTGAATACAGCATTATCATTATTCATTTTTTTCTTGCTAACTTTTTTCATCATAAGCATGTAATTGTTTCAGTTTTGTAAATATAGAAGCAGTTAGTTAGTAAAATGATTCATATGCTTATCCAGTTATATAACTGATATCAAATAATGTCCATATATTATTTTTTGCTCACAATCCCACAACACTTGACTACCCGGTAGTTATTTACACTAGTAACAAAAATTGTGAATCAGCTGACTCAAGATCAGGTCACGTGATTGGACAAAGTGGCTGCTAAAGACAGGAGGGAAATGGCCATTTCAGTTGAAATTTGATGACTGCTGACTGTATTACACAGGTGACCACTTAATAGAGTTACTTTATACAAGAAATTTCATTGGGAAGAAATAAAATGACCGCATACTAGGACAAGTGATAGAGGTGACAGCTATGACAAGTTCGACTGTATGAGCCACATTAGATCAACGGGGGAGAAGGTATGCTTCGGATAAGGACTTTTCATATTATTTTATTATTATTCTGCTATGACCTAGAAACATGATTCAAAATCACTGCACACTGTTTGCCCAAAGACACTCTGTGGGTGAAGTATGAGCCAGATTGGGCTAAGGAGAGATATGCTCCTGACAAGAGATTCGGACAGATGAATGGACGGACAGACTGATCACTGTAGGGGGCAAGCAGAGTGAGTCCCTTATAATGCTTGCAATAATTCAGTTACCCCTCTTTAAATAAAGAATTATTACTACATGTACTGTACAGCAGGAAATTAACTCGCGGAGTTAATATTCGCTATATTGGCGGAAAAAGAAATTCCGCGAATTCAACATATAGTGAATAATTCTTGAAAAGATTTATAAGGGTAAACTGAAATTTTATCATCATCTGTGATTAGATGCAGACTGTCATTATAATTATGAGAGTGTATACAAACACGCAGTTGTTGGTGTTTTGTAAAGCTTATCAATTGTTAAATTAATTTCTATAGCTAACGATTACGGTAGTTTGCCATCTAGTAGACATGTAATGTAATTATTTAATTTTAAACAAGCTTGTATAATTTCACCCGTGTTTATCACTCAGTCATTACCCTTAATCAAGACACTTGCGAAGTAAACAGGGTAATTATAAAGACAATTAATTAATTTCAATTATATGATTAAAAGTTCAACAATTTGACTACTATATTTTTTTTTATTTGGCCTCGGAAATAAAAAATATTCTGAATGCGTAACATTATTTTGACTTCAAATCGGGATCAGTCCGGTGTTTCGTTATTTAATCGGGCTCAAAATTGACACAGTATATCGACTTGCCTCTCCTGTCTGATATGCGCGATATACAAGAACAGACTTTCATAAGATAGAGAATGAAAATAAAGGTTCACACAATATATACCTAAAGAAAAAAAAGTACTATTTTAAAAATGTATGGTTTTTTCCTTTCCGCGAATTCAAACGACCGCGATTTGCTGAAAATTGAACAAATTGTGATCTTTTCCGACCGCGATTTTAACCTGCTATACAGTATGTTATTATCATAAAGCAATTATGTTTCTTAAAATTTTGGTGCACAGTGGAAGTTAAGAGCCATTCTCTGTAATGATTTGAAATTTTATACAGGAGCTGTGGCACGCATAGTCTCAGAATTTCTCCAAACTCTCTATGATAAAAGGCATTGATACCCTGAACTGAAATCAGGCAAAAATTGGTTGCTATCCCGCACCTCAGATCTCCATATATTTTCCATATTCAAAATAAGGAGAAAATGCGGACGGGAGTATTTGGACTAATTTTCCGCATTCATTCCAGATTTCCGTAGATTCAAATTTCCAGATTTTCTCCGTATTCAAAATATGGAGAAAATATGGATGGGAGTATTTGGACTCTTTTTCCGTATTTTCTCCAGATTTCCGCATTTCCATATATAAAAAATATGGAGGTATTTACTTGGTTGATAAAATGCGGAAATACAGAAATCTGGAGAAAATACGGAGTTAATCACATGGTTATAAAATGGCTTAAAACTGCTACATGATGCATACATACATAAATATTTACAAAACCATCAACAATGTGCAAAATTATGTACAATTTATTATACCATTATGAGAAAAACATTTAAATGAATGAAAAATTTACACATTATGGACATGAGCAATGTATTGGATCTTATATCTTTTACAAACAAACAGAGGAGCATGTATGGAAAGAGTGAACTCTTATTAAGCCACAAATTCATCATGAAAAAAATAAGAATGTGGCATTTTTTTATATATATAAATTAAATGGAAATCTATTCATTCTATAAAAGCAAAAGTGGTAGTGAAAAGTTCAACACTTTTAGATATTGGGGGAAAAAATAACAATTGACATAGCTAGCATTGAATATTTACCAAAAAAAAAAGAAGCAATTTTATAGACATTTTTTATCAATCTGGATCACATTTGCCATTTTCTACCTGCATTCCTGATTCATATTTCTCACAATATTCAATTTATATCTCAGGTCTGTGCTTTACACCCATCTGTCCAATAAAATTTTTCTTCAGACTTCTTTGTAATTTGTAAGGTCAATGCATGGTTAATTTCTTGCAGCAGCACTTGCGGTCGAATTGGCAAATCCTATAAGTTAAAAAAAATACTTAAATTATGGTGCAAATAAAATTCAAATTAATTGCTTTTATTCCTTTTATAGTCTTTTTATAAACACAAGTTTGGGTACTTCAATTTTATATCAATTTGTTTAAAGTAATATTTATAATAATGACAATCGTAGTTGATTGTTCTTAATTAAACAAGCAATAAAAAAGAAAAAAAGAATATATATACCTCATACATAACCATCCATGGACCAGCTTTAAGCCTGTGAAAATCGCAGTTAGTTGAATAACCACTTATTCTTTTTCAGAAAATCTCCTCCTTTTGCACAGACAGACGCTACCAAAATAAAATGTGTGGTAAATCATTGCTAGAGATTACAGCCCATGGCTTCCCAAAATTAATTTAACACCTTTAATTGTGGTTAATCATAATCAAGTTCTTTGAGCTGATTGAATAATTTGAATCATGGGCATATCGGCTGAAACGAACGTAGCCTGGTAGCTCAGTCCTAGGCCTAGAGCAATTTTATTTTCATCATCACTGACACACATTAAAAAAAATATGACTGACCTACTGTATATGAAATACGTGTATCTGCATCTATTGGTTGATACAGCAATACGATCTCATGCTTCCTGGTCAACAAACCTCCTCTTCAAAACATGCAGACGTTACAACATGGAAGCCAAGGTCAAATTTTGGCGGTCTGTTTTTAAATTAATAGATCACTGAGCCCGACTTTTTGAAACGTTCTTTCGATCCCGATCAAATTGTACATAACATTTAGGAGAAACAGAGAACTGCTGCAGAGCTCCGTATTTTTTCCAGATGAAAAATATTCTAAGTTAAGAGTTAAATATTTTTCCAGATGAAAAATAGACTAAGTCCAATTCTCCATATTATTTCCGTATATTTTCCAGATTATTTCCGTATATTTTCTGCTTTTCCGTATTGTTAATTCTCTCTGTATTTTTTCCACATTTTTTCCATATTTAAAATGAGGAAAAAATGCGGAATAATGCGGAAATCTGGAGATCTGAGGTGCGGGCTGTTTTATAGTTACCATGGCAACATGTCTTAAGGTTCAAAAAATGGCATTTTTTAACATGTTTAGAGCCCCATAGTTAACATTTGCGGCAAAGCAAACAATTGTTAATGACTGTTTCCAAAAGTTGAAGGTAAGATGTCTCGAATGCATGATAAACATGTTTGGTAAATCAACTATTACATACGTTACTATGGTAACAAAGTATTCAAAAGTAAAAAAAATATTCATTGAATTTTATGAGGTCATACTCGTAAAAATGAAAAGCAATTATAGGATGAAATGTTACCAAATAATAGAAAAAAGAGCCTTGAAACACATACCAAGAAAAAATATATTTCATTTTGGTTGGCAATGGTTGCCAAGGTTTTTATGCCCCAGAGAGCCTTCAAAGAAACACTATGTATGTTTAAATATGATCCTATCTTTTAAAAAAAGCACATTTCCTCATTACTAATGATCAATTTTATAAGATGTTGGTGTGCTCCAAATTTTCCCATTTCAAAAAATTCAGATTAGATTCTTTAAATAGAGCGTTGCTATGGAAATAAGCAGAAAATATATGCTTAAAAACCTGAAAAATATTTTGTTTCCTTGGATACGTACCCTTAAATGTAGATTCCCAAAACTTTTATGATTGATATTTATTAACAGCTAACTTGACTTTTAATTTTGACTATCATCCAATCTCTAAGTGGATGCAAGAAGTTGGCACACAGGGTTTAATATTGATATAAAGTTAAAAAAATCGAACATTTTCCCTTCTTGGTAACCATAGCAACAGTGTTGTTTTATTCATCAAATTTTATCAATATATGATATTTAACTTCAGTTCTAACAGATAAGACTATTCCAGCTGAGCTCTTTAATTTGTTTCTTGATTAAATGGCAATTTAATTCTTAATGCAGCGGAAAAAAATTCACTTTTAAGCACTGGTACTTTGTTTCCATGGTAACTACAAAGTAGCAATTATACCCAATTTTTCTTATGGTTTTGGTGTTGCAAGGTCCTAAGGATGCATATTTGCCAGTCTTGAATTTTCATGTTTTTTCTCAAGACAGTAGCATTAACCCAATCTTAGTTACTGGTTTTGCATGGTGACACTGTGTTACCATGGCAACCATAAAAGTTATTTATAGAATAATATTGCTTATACTTATATACTTAAGGTCAAACATTTTCATTGTTTTTCTTAAGTCAATGATTGAGTTTTAGCATGTAACACCTACCATTAGTGAATATGGAGTGTTTTTCAGCATATTTCAGCATTTTAAATGTATTCCAAATGTACCCTTGGTTACCACTTACTTAGAGATATATTCTAAAAAGTTTCTTCATAGTATAAGTGACATCAAGGTGTTGTGTTTTTTGTTAGAATGGTTTGTTTGCTTTTTCTAGTTTTTATTAAGCCACAGTCAGGATTTAAAGTGGCTGAAAATCTCGATTTTTCAAACTTTTCCGGCTGTTGCCATAGCAACCGAGACACTTAGCAACAAAATTTTGTTTGATATTTGTTTCTGGTGTTAAGTACTAAGCATGGGTGAAGTTTCATCAAAATTGGTGACCATGCGTGGCAACGAAGTTTAAGTGGTTACAGAGAATGGCAATTAAACGGATTATATCCTTTACTTTGCAGTATTTTTATTTAAGGAATTAGTAATTTTATAATGTGATTGAGTGGCTTGCGTGATGAGTTGCATAAATGCCAAAGGCTTTTATGCATAAAATTTTCATGCAAGCCAAGCCATCGACATGAAGTCAAAAAATCTGAGTTATTCCTTATATTTACATCCTCTTGATTCCCCAAATCCATGTGCGACAAGCCCCACTAGTGTCTTTATTTGTCCCGCCCCATACATTATCTATTTGTAATTTTATCTTGGACAAAGACATTGGAAATGTAAATATCTATTCTTGTATGATACAACAATTGTACTTACATTTGGAAATATTTGGACTTCCTTCACTGTCTGGCGGCCTGATGTTGTTCAAAACCTTGCTCAAGTTTGTCATTACACTGAAATGTAGTATTTTATGTCACTGTAATTGCAAGTAAGGAGAGTATAAAGTATATACTTGCCTATAAGTCAGTATTTTGGGAGTTAAGGCAAACCGACTTGAACACAAGCATATACAGCAGTTTTTTAGTCTGTCAGTCTATCTGTCTGATGTCAGTCTGAACAAGATGCCTATGGGCCACAACACTGAAGTGCTGTTTTTCATCAGATTTCATCCTTGTAATACTTACTGTGGGCCCGACCTACTCCTGGAAGTCATGATTTGAACAATTTTAATTCTAAACAACCTCGGGATACTTCCATATAAGTTTAAGGTTTTCTGGCCCAGTGTTTCTTGAGCAAAAGATTTTTCCTAGATATTTCATATTAAAACTTAAACTCTCTATTGTGGCCTTATCCAACCCCCAGGGACCATGATTTGAACAATTTAGAATTTACACCACCCCAGGATGCTTTAAATAAGCTCAAGTTTTGCTAGAAAAGTAGTTCTTGAGAAAAAGATTTTTTAATGACCGCACCCTATTTTTCTTCTTTTCTTGATTATCTCCCCCTTGTAAGGGGACTTGGCCCTTTATTTTAACAATTTAACATCTTTCTTATACAAATCATACATCACTTTAAGGTATGTCACTTGTCAGCTTTTTAGAAAAGTTCATGCAGAACCTATAACTTTAAAACTATTTATCATAATTCAATTTTTATAACATATTTAAATTCAATGATGTAAATTGTTCAACATTCCATGAAAAAACTGCTCAAAAGTCCAAAAAGAAGCAAGATTTATGAGGGACTATTTCTTGTGGTGGAAGGATATTTAGCAGAAAATTCTGCAAATCTGCACTTTTATGAAATTAGTATCTTGGAACTTTACCTTCACATACTTTTGCTTGGGGATATTTTCTATTATGATATTGCTAGGAATATCTCATATAGGTCTCAATTTATATTTTTAGAACAAATTTTAAACCTTCCCTCAACAAACTTTGCCGAAAATGAAAATATGTGAGAGAAGTCAGGATAAAATTTACACCTTTTTTCATCTGAAAATCATATATTTTGACCAATATAAAATTAACATGAAGCTTTTTTTATAAACCGCGAAGAATGAATCTAATAGCTACCAATTTTATACTGTATAAACTGGGTTAGAAGAGTTAACACTTTTTTATAAACCCTGAAACTAGGTTGGAACAATTTACACTTTTTTATAATCCGCAAAGTGGTTGTAAAACAATGTAAAAATAAAAATAAATAGCAAAAGTACCTTGTCTTAGTCGTAAGTTCTTTTGTAAAACAAACGCTTAATCAATTCAAATTCCAGATATTCCAGAGAGTAACATAAATGAATAGAGAAATTTGCTGGGTGTAGAAATGTTCATCATAATTTGATTAAATACACGTTATATGTGTTATTTATATTAAATATTATACTATTTATGTAATTGTTTGTCATTCACTAATTCTGCAAAGAATTATTTGCAATTAAAGAAAAGTATTTCATTTATTTACAGCAGAACACTTTGGCACACACATGTCGCTTCATACAACATTGAAATCAACTCACACTTACCTGTAAAATCTAATGATACACCTGAGTAACCATGTGACCTAGATTTCAACCTAATGGGATACTTGTTAGACCAAATTAAATACCCTATTGAGCGACCCACTATAGTGAGCAACCTACTGAAAACTTTACTCCTGAAATTCAATAAGAGCTGGCAACCGGCAAAATTAACCGCTTGTACGAGAAATTTTGCCGGCTATGAAATTTCCGTCATTAGGATTTTGCCGGGGCTGGTACGTGAAATCCATGTGAAATCCATAGATTTTATCGCAACTATTTCCATGATCTAGAGTAGCTTCCCTTGAGTGCGCTCTTTTTTCAAGGAAGTTTGATTAGATCGATAGTGTTATGTAATGGCGTCGCGGACAACGAATCGTTGAGAAACGTGCTGGTGCTGTAACACATGCGTTTGAGATCAAATACATTAAGAGGCATAAAGCATGGTCCTTTCCGAAAAGATGTTTGTGTTTTATAATTTTCGATTGAAAATTGATTGTGCGGCAGCCTCAGTATTAATAAGTGAGGGGTTCCCCGGTGAAACAACAGCAAATATATAACTATGCCAATATAATTTTAAGACCTTTCGAAAAAATGTATGAATTCTTACAGAATTTCATCAAACTGAAAATCTCAAATGTTAAGCTAAGACTTAATAATTACGAACAAAAGTCTTAATATTTAATCCTGACTTAGACGTAGAAATTCAAGATTTCAGAATTTCCTCAACAATGCTCAAACTGAAAATGCAAAAAATATTCTTATTTATTCGTGTAAGATCTCTTGAAGTACAGGAACAGTATCATTTTCACATTTGGGAAGGTTTTAATGTACTAGTAATTTGTCTCAAATTCCATTTTCTTAATTATTTTGTTCTGACAATCTGTACAAAATGTCAAAAAAGTAAATCAGTTTAAAGATTACTTTATGAAAGTCTAAGATTGCAGAATATTTCAATTTTTTTTTGGGGGGGGGTGTACTGCACATCACCAAGTGTTTAAGAAATCTTAAATTTTTAACTAAATAACTTTTTAAAAATGAATAAAAGTCCTAACCAATTTAGTGAAAGGGACTAAATTTATTTGTAGAATTTTCAGTATAATACTAGTATTTTACCACAGACAATTGTCTGTACTAGAGTTTCATACTTAAGTTGTCTATATGTTTTCATAGACACGTAGTTTTCAGAAGAAAAATAACTCAGTCTGTCAAACAAATCTGTGAAAAGTCAAAAATTGTTTTCTAATTGGCTTTTTAGGTAAAATTTGATAATTGATAGTGACAAGAATGTACTTTTTTAATGGCCTGAGAGGTAAGAAAAAGGAGTCGTAAATGCTGAATTTCATTTTCGGCCGGGGGGCTTTGCCCCCCTACCAGGGCTCTGCCCTGGACCCGCTGGGGGCCTAAGGCGGCCCCCAGACCCCTCGCCGAGACTGATTTCCTGCTATTCCATCCATTTTTCCTTCTATTGAAAATCTTATTGAAAACACTGATTTCTTAATTCACTGTAATACTCATAGGCAGGGTAGGGGAACAAAAAATGCATTTCAATTAATCAGTAATATTCAGCAATAATCAGTAATGCCTCTACCACATATAAACCCCTGACCCTAGGTCCACACATTTCACAATTTTGGAAAAAGCACCCTTGCTTATCAAAAATGTTTGATTAATACCAAGGAGGAGTTTTTAAACAATTCATTTTTGTTATATAAGTAGAGCCCCCACCCCTCTATAGTACCCCTGACCCAGGGGCCTTGAAATTCACAATTCTGGAAGAAGGACCCTTGCTCATCATAACTATATATGTAGTTCATCTGCTTAATACCCATAAGCAGAGAAGATGATTTTCAAAGATTTAATGTATTTTCACTATATAATCAATAGAATCCTGCCGTAACACCAGAATCCCTGAGCCTGGGGCCATAAAATTCACAATTTTAGAAGAGGTATTCTTTCTCATCATAACTATGTACTTAGTTTATTTGATATTCTGGAGCAGAGAAGATTTTCAAAGATTTAATGAATTTTCACAATATAATCAACAGAGTCCTGCCGTAACACCAAAGCCCTTGACCCTGGGGCAATAAAATTCATAATTTTAGAAGAGGCACTCTTGCTTTTACATTCATGCCAACAGTTTGACTGCTTGATGTCCAGGAGTAAAGATTTTTTAAGATTGCATATATTTAAGTGGTCTTGGCCCCACCCCTCAGGCCCCAGGGGGGCAGGGACTGGAAAATTCAAAAATTTTGTTCCCCTTCACCCATAGATGCCATATATGCTAAAATTGGCTGAAATTGGTTCAACGATTTCAAAGAATGTTCAAATGTTAAAATGACACATGACAGACTAGAACAGATAGCAATAACTTGGGTGACCTAAACAAGGGTATTTTTTTTTCACATGTGTAAACAACATTATGTTTGACAAATATGTAGGTATTTAATAATTTTCCTTGTCATACATTTAACTAAGAAATACAACACACAATATTACCTTTGGGAAAAGGGAGGGAAAAGAAATTCTTTTTGACATGAGACTTATTTATTGTTTCATTCCTAAATATTTTCAAATTATTTAACTGGCAAACTTAACTATATAACTGGCAAATTATTTTTCAATATATGCAGATAAAATCAACAGCTACGCTTTGTAGATTTCTACTTTCATTTCCAATAAAAAGATCTCTTTGGATTCCGATTTTATTGTTTGATAATTATTTCAAAATGTTTTTAATTTTTGTTTCTAATAAAATGACTTACAATTATCCCTTTGCATACATTTTAAATCCCCTAACTGCTCCAGGCTTTTTAATGTTATCTGTATCTGGACGCTGTGTGCGTTCAAGCGAGAAGTGATTTCCTGTGGCTATATATATAATTAACACCTCTCCCTGCATTAAATAAACACTGAAACTTATCTCTGCGCATGGAATAAACAAGTCTGATATTCTTATCCGGATTGACAAAACTCGGGTTTGGGAAACTTTTAAAATTGAAATTTAAGGGTGAATTTTTCAAATCGGGATATTGGGGCAATTTTTCTCTCCCAATCAGGAAGTCGGGATGACAGGGTCATATCGGAAGGATCCCACCTAAATCTGGAAAGTTGACATGTATGCTCAAGTAACCCTTATAGATAGTTTTAAGATATATACATGTGTTTAATCTGAAATTTAATCCATTTATTTCTTTTTGAAATTCATAATAATTACCTTGATGATTTTAGAATTGGGTTTTGAAGTTGCAAAGGATTTAACCTGAACCAGTCAAGCAAAAGCTTGACTGCTGGCAGGGTGAAAAACTCCTTCAGTTTCTGTTCTTGCTTCGGGGTGTTTTGTAAGAGCAAATCCAAAATGCCAACTACAATAAATATATTATTTTAATTATACAACATAATTAAGGAGGATCTCAACATCAATGAAGTATAATTGATTTTTGTTGTATGCATTTGTTTTTAATAATAGACTCAATATCCAATAAAATAAAGTTCAAAAGTATTTCACTTTATTTTTTGGAAATATTTAAAATATTTTATTCATCTTGTAAAAATTACTTAATTCTACATTTTAAAAGCCCTAGCTGTAATTTACATTTCTATTTAAAGTTAAATGTTAAATTATAAAGTATTTAAATGAAAACCAACAAAGTTATAATTATATAAAATCTTCACGAGTTTTATTTAATTCTTCAAAAATAGACAAAAGAAAAACTAAAACATCATATTCTTGAAAATATCTGGTTGGATTTCCTCCAACATCTGAAAATAAATCTAATATCAAAAGGTTAAAATGACCCAAAAAAAATTAAATTAGAAACAATATTGTTGTGACCAAGGAGAGCTAGGTTTTCCATCAGATCCTGAAAGTAAAATGTGTAAAATAAAGCTGAAAATATGAGAAAAAAAAATTTCAGACACACGTTGGGATTGAACCCCGATTGCCAGCGTGAAAATCCAATGCGCTAACCATTACGAACAATTTATGTTTAGTAACTTGCATCTATTAGAAAACAAGAAATCTGTGAGCCAATGCTCACTAGTAATACCCCTCTCTGATGTGAATATACAATATCATGTTAATAGATGTTACAGGTATATACAAAGATAAATAGGAATTTGACATCAGATTCAAATAAAAATTCCACCATACTGCATGTCTCAACAAAGTATATTGTACTAAAATTTCAAGCATCTGTTATGAGTAGTTGCTGAGAAAACTGCAACGAAAATTTGTTATGTATGAAACGGACAGATGCACGGATAAACAGGAAGTTGACATCAAATTTGAACAAAATTAATCTCAACGTCTGTCATGCCCAAGAGAAGATTGTCTTAAAATTTCAAGCATCTGCGATGAGTAGTTGCTAAGAAAACTGTGTCAAAACTTTGTTACGGACGGACAGACAGTCGGAAAGACAGACTGATAGACACACAAGGGTAAAACAATACACCCCCCTCTCCTTCTTAGCAGAGGACTAAAAACATTCATATCAACTTTATTAAACAATCTTTATAAAAGATGCTTTTCTTACTTTGTCTTAATTACTATTCATTTAAGGTAAACCTTTACTCAGGAAGACTTAAATTCCACTGATAAGAACGAAAAACCAACTATTGCACAAATATTGTACATCTATGATTCTTATGTTACATTTCAATTTCAAATTACTAGGTCAATGACCTACTTTTTATGCTAGTGGCCCCTCAGTATTTCCTTGAAAAAACCTCAATTTTTCACACTATGACCAATTCTTTCTTTACTCACAAAATATTACAAGCAACACAACTCTTTAAATAATGAAACATAATAGCAACAGAACAGCTTTGCTTCATTTAAAGAAAAGATAAGAGTTTGGGCCATAAACTTAAAGATTATTACCGTCCGAATTTCCTCTGTCACATTTATATTTTTTCCCTATGTGGAATTGAATATTTAAAAATTCCGAATGATAAGAACTCTAAATTATTTATAGCCTCAGATTACTTTTGTTGCATGGTATTAACATTATATGGGGTCAATGATCAAATTACTGAGATATGTTGTCTGGAATGGTTTTTAATTGTTCATATTTTTGAATTTCTTTATCTCATATAGCATTCAATCATTTGAAATAGTTTACGAAAGCCAACACCTATAATAATTGCAAAATGATATGCATGTAACCTTTACATTGTTATTAACATTGCAAGAAAAATATAAATTTTGACAAAACAAAAAATTACAAATTTAGTCCAAATTTCCTCTGCATTACCATACATTGATTTTTGTTTCTGTTTATTTTCTTCGAATAATGAAATATTAAATTTTCAAACTGATACATGTATTGAGTTAAAACTTGCTTAAAAAATCTTTACTCCTGGACATCAAGCAAAACTTGCTTATTTTATCCATTTAGAACAATTCTTAATTTAACATATTATACTTTATAAAATTTCCTTTCTGTTTTTTGAAACCCGAGTAAACGTCATCCTTAATATGCCAAAAACCTGCATGGAAAATAAACTAGAACTGTATAATCTGTACAGACAAATGCCATTTTACCAATGCACAAGAATACTTCTTTACGGAAATGTTTTAGGGAATAAATTACTTGTAAAACTGAACATCAAAGAAAATGATCTGAGCTCTTCACTGCCAAGTTCTTCATTGAAGGAGTTGGACTGTTCCTCACTGTCCTGATACTGAGTCATACGTTGAGCATGGTGCATGGAGAAGATATTTATAGCCACAATTTGTACCAGAATAAGAGATGGAAAACTCTGAGATGTTACATGGGCTGGTAAGGCTGCCAGGAGTTTAGAACTCAGTGCTGCTGCTCTGTCAAGTTCTGTAGGAAGTTTAATCAAAAAATGTAATGGTATACCCAGTACATAAAAATACAAAATGAAGAAATATTTTAGAAATGAATCATTTATTACTTCAAAATCATACAAACCAGTGCAGAGATGAATACATGCATGAAGCTGGAGAAACGATGTGATCATTTCACTCACTGAGAGTTTTCCTTTCAGCTCAGGACTAAAACAATAGAAAACTAGTGTTAATTTTAATGGGAACCGGTACCTATGTTCCCCAAATGCTGCCCATCTCCCTTTTTGTGCCTAATTTTTGTAAGACATTTGAAAGATATGACCAGTATCAAAGGATTCCATAAAAAAAATTTGCAAGCACGTGCATGCAAAATGACCTTTATTCCGCAAATCTACATAACATCCCCACTGACCCTAAATAGGTTTCACATTAATCTAATGTGTAGTTTACAAGAGATCACTCACGGACAAAAAAGTACCCAGGAAGAAGAAGAAAAATAATATTAATAGTAAGAAACAGAGTAAAAACAACAAGTTCCTCAACTTCGTTTGGAGAACATAACAAGAGGCCCATGAGCCACATCACTCACCCAAGTACATAGGCTAGGTAAGAACACAAATCAGCTTAGTATTGAAAAAGTTTAATTGGGGGGGGGGGTGTTAATTATATGCTACTTGAGGATGTCACCACATCAATATAGAATACATGCATAACTTTGCCACTCTTGAAAAGAAGACTTTTAAATATGTTTTCCTACATATTACTTTGTAAAATTTTATCTCCTATATTGGCTTTTAATTTCCACACACACCCCTCCAACCAAACCCTCTTCATGATTTGAATATAAGAGGCCCAAGGGCTTTGAATTGCTCTTTTGATAAATTTTACAATAATATCACTCTTTTTGAAGCCTCTAAGTACCATGTATATTTAAATAAAGCCTTGAAATCCTAAAAGTAAGTTATCATGACCTATATTTCAGTTAAATCACTCTGAGAGCCCAGAATAATTGACTGACAGAGTGTGATGATTCTAAGCCCCCTATAATCTGAAATATTAATATATAGCCATGCAATTTCAAAAGTAAGTCGCAGTGACATACTCTTTGGAAAACATACTCAGAGATCCCACATTGGCTCAAATGACAAAATTTGATTATCTTAAGACTCCCATTATTTGAAATGTTTAAATAATGCCTTGAAATAACAAAACTAGGTCACCATGATCTGCTTTTATTTAACACATTCTGAGGACATAAGATGAATCACCTGACAAAGTTTGATGATATCTACACTACCTTAGGATGATTCAACATGAGTTTCATCTTTCCTGGCCAAGTGATTCTTGAAGAAGATTTTTAAAGATTTTTTCTATATATTCCTGTGTAAAAATTTGATCGGACATTGTGGCCCCACCTTACCCCCACGGGTCATGATTTGAACAAAATTGAATCTACACTATCTGAGGATGATTTCACATGAGTTTCACCTTGCCAAATGGTTCTTGAGAAGATGATTTTTAAATATTTTTCCTATAAACTTCTTTGTAAAACTTTGATCAGCCATTGTGGCCCCACCCTAACCCAGAGGTCATGATTTGAATAAAATTGAATCTACACTACCTGAGGATGATTCCATAACATGAATATCTAGAGTAAATGATTATAAAATATTTTTTCCCTTTATTTGAAATAAGACAAAAAATCTAAATCATTTAGATAGAATGAAGTATTGGTCTATTTTTTTTTTCTCGCAAAATCCTTTTACATTACCTGTCCTTACCTGAAGCTTGCACAGGTGAGTTTATAGGACAAATCTAATAAGGCAAGGACATTGGTATTGATTTCAAAAACAAACATTATATAGGGTTTATAGATCTATCTTAAAAAATGAATATTCTATAGTGATTTAAAGACACCATTATTAAGAAAAAAGGTTCATATTATTTTATACAGCATTCAGTACTACTATACAAATATTACATAACATAGCATGATAATATTGGGCTAAAATTTATTTCATCATAAATGGTTGATTAAAACCAAAGAGCAGATTTCAAAGCATTATTTTATTTTCAGACTATGTACCCCCCCCCCCCCCCTTACCCTTAACCCAGGGGCCCTGAAATGAACAACTTTGGAAGAGGCACCTTTCTTCATCATAAATATGTTACCTAGATCATTGGCATATTACCAAGGAGCAAAGAATTTCCAAAGAACTAAATAATGCATTTTCACAATATAATCATAAGATTAATCACCATCCCGCCCTAACACCAGAACCCCTGACCCAGGGTCCATAAAATTCACAAATAGGTAAGAAGCATCCTTCCTGATCATAACTATGTACATAGTTCATTGGTTAAATACCTAGGAGCAGAATCTTCAGACTATATACTGTAACCCCTCCCCCCTCCCGATACCCCTGACCCAGAGAACATGGAATTAATCATTTTGCTAGATGCACCTTTCTTCATCATAAAATATATGTACTAAGATCATTGGCATAATACCTAGAAGCATTGGAAAAGATTTCTAAAGAATTTTTGCATTCTTACTATATGATCAATAGAGCCCCATCCTAACACAAGAACCTCTGATCCTGGGGCCATGAATTCACAATTTTTGAAGAGGCATTCTTGCTCATAATAACTATGTACTTAGTTTGTTTCTTTAATTCCCAGGAGCAGAGAAGATTTTCAAAGAATTAATGTATTCTCACTAAAAAACTAATAGAGCCCCGCCCTAACATCAGAACCCCTGACCCTGGGGCCATGAAATTCACAATTTTGGGAGAGGCACTCTAGCTCATCATAGCTATGTACTTAGTTAGTTTATTTAATACCCAGGAGCAGACAAAAAGATTTTCAAAGAAATAATGCATTTTCACTATATAATCTATTTAGAACTGCCATAGCATTAGAACCCCTGACCCTAAGCCCATGAATTTCACAATTATGGTAGAGGACTCAGTGCTGATTACAACTGTGCAAACAGTTTGACTGCCTGATGTCCAGGAGTATAGAAGAAGATTTTTTAAGACTGCATCAATTTTTGTGGTTTTGGCCCCACCCCTCAGGCCCCAGGGGGGGAGCCATGAAATGCACAATTTTTGTTCCCCTTTACCCTGCTTTGTACGTGCCAAAATTGGTTGAAATTGGTTCGAGCGGTTGCATAGAAGAAGCTTACAATGTAAAGTGTTCAAATGTTAACGGATGACGCACATCGCACAACAACAGACAACAAGAGGCCCATGGGCCTTATAGGTCACCTGAGCATTATGCAACAACTTTCCAGTGACTGAATTTGATTCATGTTTTAAGCCGGATGCTATGGCATTCACAATTTTTGAAAGAGGCACCATTGATCATTATAACAATACACTTAGCAGTTGCTTAGTTTGGTTACTGAATACCCATAGGCAGGGTAGGGGAGCAAAAAATGCATGTCAACTAATCAGTAGTGCCCCATTCACACATGAACCCCTGACCCTTAGGCCTAGATCCAAACATTGCACAATTTTTAAAAAGGCATCCTTGCTTTTCAAAAATATTTGATTAATACCAAGGAGCAGATTTCAAACAATTCATTCATTTTTAGTATATAAATATCCCCCCACCCCACCCCACCCCCCCCCCCCCCCCCCCCCCCCCCCCCCCCCCCCCCCCCCCCCCCCCCCCCCCCCACCCCCTGTCTAAGGTACCCCTGTCCCAGGGGCCTTGAAATTTACAATTCTGGAAGATAAGGACCCTTGCTCATCATAACTATATAGGTATGTTCACCTGCTTAATACCTAGGAGCAGAAAGGAAAATTTTCAAAGAATTCATGTATTTTCACTATAATATCAATAGAGCCCCGCCCTAAAAACAGAAACCCGACCCTGGGGCCATAAAATTCACAATTTTGGAAGAGGCATTCTTGTTCATTATTACTATAGTATATACTTAGTTAGTTTATTTAATACCTAGGAGCAGAGAAAAAAAATCAAAGAATCCATGTATTTTCACTATATAATCAATAGAGCCCCACCCTAACACCAAAACCCCTGACCCTGGGGCTATAAAATTCACAATTTTGGTAGAGGCACTCTTGCTCATCATAACTATGCACTTGGTTAATTCATTTAATACCTAGGAGCAGAGAAGAAGATTTTTAAAGAATTCATGTATTTTCACTATATAATTAATAGAGCCCCGCCCTAACACCAGAACCCCTGACCCTGGGGCCAGAAAATTCACAATTTTGGTAGAGGCACTCTTGCTCATCATAACTATGCACTTAGTTAGTTTATTCAATACCTAGGAGCAGAGAAGAAGATTTTCAAAGAATTCATGTATTTTCACTATATAATCTATAGAGTCCCATCCTAACACCAGAACCCCTGACCCTGGGGCCATTTAATACCCAGGAGCAGAGAAGAAGAATTTAAAAGAAATAATGCACTTTTACTATATGATCAATATAGCCCCACCCTAACACCAGTACCCTTGATCCAGATTTTCAAAGCATTCATGTATTTTCCCTATATAATCTATAGAGCCCCACCCTAACACCAGAACTCCTGATCTGGGGCCATAAAATTCAAAATATGCTCATCATAACTATGCACTTAGTTGGTTTATTTAATACACAGGAGCAGAGAAGAAGATTTTCAAAGAAATAATGCATTTTCACTATATACTTATTTAGCCCTGGCCTAGAACCCTTGACCCCAGGGCCATGAATTTCACAATTTTGGTAGAGGACCCAATGCTGATTACAATCATGCAAACAGTTTGACTGCTTGATGTCCAGGAGTAAAGAAGAAGATTTTCAAAGATTGCACTAATTTTAGTGGTTTTGGCCCCACCCCTCAGGCCCCAGGGGAGCAGGGAGCATGAAAATCACAATTTTTGTTCCCCTTCACCCATAGATGCTTTGCACCAAATTTGGTTGAAATTGGTTCAGTGGTTGCAGAGAAGAAGCTGAAAATGTTCAAATGTTAACGCACAATGCACGATGCACGACGACGAACGAAAACAGATGGCAATAGGTCACCTGAGTTTACTCAGGTGACCTAAAAACAAATAGCAATAGGTCACCTGAGTGTACTCAGAAGAACTAAAAAAACAGGACTGACTGACGTACAGGTCAAAAACATTATACCTCATGCAACTTGCTGCATGGGGTATAATAAAAACTAATAAACAGAAATAGGTATTTTAGTAT